GTCCCAACACACAATTCAGCAACAGTCCATGAATCCATACTGAGGTCATTCCCTGAGATGCAACTATATGCAAACCAGGCCACATGTCCTTACTGGGAGAAAACAGTCCTTAACTTGAATATATGAACAGTGAAAGCGGAATGGTCTTATTTATTTAAAGTTTTTCTTTGCTGTCCATTACTAAAAATGTCTCTGGACAGCTTACAAGGAACAAAGAAAAACAAGGAACAAAAACCATAAGAGCAACAACGCACAGCACACCACATCTAAAAATAGTGATAAAAGCAAGGATAAGACCAATTAATTGTTAAAATACCGGAAAAATAAAAAGGTCTTCTCCTGACTCTGAAAAAAATAGAGTGATGGCATCAGGCGCACCTCTCTGGGCAGCATATTCCAGTCTTCTGCTCAGTTCTCATAAATGATTTCCAAGGCTTCTGCTCTTCCTTTTGGAGGTCCCTATTCTTTAAACCACGAGCTCACAGCCATTCAGAGAACTGATCTTCATAAAGTAGGTTGTAGGGTCTACTGCCCCCACAGAGCTTCCATTTCCACCTTGCACAGAGTATGCAAGGTATCTGAATTACATATTGTGCCTATAACCCACCTGAGCACAGGCCCCGGCCCGTCTTAGGAAATCCTTCTTTCCATGTTGCGCCTCTTTCATATTAGGGAACTCACTGAGGGTGCTGCAGCCAAGCACCCTCCCCATGCCCCAAATCCTGAAGCCACATTGTCTGGGTTGTCTTATTGCCACATGCCAGCATTTGAAGTATGTAACCCAGGCAAGTGTCTTGTTTCAAAGAGCTTGGCAGTGACAATGCCCCAGTTAGGCTCTTAGAGCAACAAAAGCTGATATCCAATCACTCTCTCAGGCAGCCTTTGTTTGAGCTAGGACAGGAGAACAGGGACAGTCAATAGAAAAGGACACAGAAGAAACCTGTTGTAGTTTTCAGGGCAGGACATGGCCTATAACTGAATCACTGCAACCATCCATAAAAAGGGTCACCCATCAGAGAGTGGAGACACTTGGCACTGGTTAAACAGGACAAAATGTGGTGTGCATGTGCACAGAAGGGTCATTAAGACATCCTTTTAATGTGGGTCACTTCACCAATGACCCCCACACCCTTCTTCATTTCCTAAGAAAGAGAAGGGAGAAGTCTTATCCAATTTCATCACAGTGATTTTCCATAACTGATGGCTTCCACAAAACCATGGAAAGTTGACTTTCTTCCTCTACTCCAATCATACACATCCTGGTGCATTGGTGGTTGAAGAACATGTCCCATCATCTGCAGCCAGCATGTTGATTGATGGGAGCTCAGTCCAATATGGGAAGCACCAGGTCCTACTCTAAATTCTCCATTTCTTGTGTTCTGCATTTGATTCATTGTATACGTTAATGAACGTATTAGGAACGGATTCCTAAGGTGTGCTAAAATGTTTTGAAACTGTAACTACTTGAAAATGAACTAGCAATTTGAGACTTCAGTTCTCTACAGATGTACCCAGGAGAAAATCTTACTTGAATGCAGTGCAATTTACTTCTGAGTAGACACAACTAGAATTTTGTGAGTCTTCTGTATATATGCTATATAATGTCCTGTTTGGCTTGATAAAAGAGTTAAAGTCTTGTAATATCTTCTTTCAGGACCTGGAGTCAGAGCTACCTAACCTCTCAGATTTAACAAACTCTATTGTGATTTTGCAGCTTAGGCTCCCCTGTGCTTCATTTAGTATTCTGCAAGGTAGAGCTCAGAAGATTATCTCAAAAGAGCATTTTTATTTGAATGTTAATGGATGGTGAGGTTGAATCCAGCTCCTGCAACTGTTCATGTTATAATCCAGTTTCCAATATATGAACTATATAACCAATGTACCCATCCCATACCTCCAGTTCAACAGGACTTCCAAAAAGTTAATCACAATCTCTCCCACATCCTCTGGGTAGATTCAACAGGGTGGACACACAGTTGGTGGAATCTCATCAAGCTTATCCAGGACTGTAGAGAGGACCACCTCTCCCCACTTCCACAGCAACTCTCTCAAAATGTTACTCAGAGGGTTGCGGTACCCTTGTGAATAGGATGAGCTGTGGTCTCCGGGGAAATGGAAATCAAGTGGAGGAAACCTTCTCTGAGGGAACCTTTTAGTTAATAGAAAGCAGATCCTAAATCCAGCTCAATGTTTCTCTCCCATCCACTCCTTAAAAAAGCAATAGATTTTTCTCTTCCATAGATTTTTACAGGGATCCAGCTGTATCCATTCCAGGTTTCATTCTGGGATTTAGGAAGCTGTTTTTCTGAACCATGTCACTGGAATTTTTCGGTTCAGCACCACCGATAGCTCCTTTGATGGTCAGACTGCCATCTGAAATAGCTACACTGTCCCACTAACATTGGAGCCACCAACCACTTGCTGGACTTAAGAGTGCCCCCTGGTGAGGCCTTTATCCTATTGCTCTGCCTCCTTCAAGAAATATTACTGGCAGGTGGTATCCAGATGATATTTTCCCTTATATTCCTCCCACATCTTCCCATTTCTTTTTCCTTACTGTAGAAAATCAATCTGGAAAAAACGAGGGCATTTCTGCACAATGTGTTCTAATTAGTAGTGATTAGGATGGAGCCCTCTGTTCGGAAGCCCTTTCGATATGATGCAGATGTAACAAGACTCACATCAGAGCAACACTTTTATTATGCAATCACCTTGCCTGATTCATGGCATTTATGAGAGGCTGTGTTATCCAGGCGATGTCCTTTTCCATCTCAAACCCTCCTGTAGTTTCTCACTGCTTCTTGCTTCCTTTTTCTTACCAGAAGAAAAATCTTTAAAGAAGAAAATAAGAAAGAATTGCACACAATACCTTTTGATTGGTGGCGTTGGCACTTGCAGGCTTTGTCTGCAAGTACCAACACTGGGTGTCCAGGGCAACACTGAGAGCTGCCCCATTGAAAAACAGTGGGCAATCCGGAATTTGCCTGTGGCTGTCACAAGATAGCAGCACGCAGCCTCCGTCTTCCTACTAGAGGAATTCTTGACCTTTCTAACTCCGGTCTTATTCTGTGAGGGAAATGTAAACCAGGAACTAATATTTCAGAATATTGCTCTGTCTATAATTTTCTATCTCTGTGAATCAGTTTCTGTTCCCCCCCGCCCCCCAATATTTCTACTCTGAGCAAACTCGGTTGTTATCATACAAATGCAAAATTATCGTATTCATTTCTATAAATTTTATCTCCTCGGCGATTTGATGTTTGCCTCTTCACAACTGGACTTGCTTTTGGAATATTTCTTGCGTGATGGCAGGGTGAGAGGCCAATCTAGCCGCCGCTGCCCTTTTACTCTATTTATCAGCCTTCCCTAACGGAACACTCTTATTAGAAAGCTGCTTTGTGACGTCATCTCTTCGTTCTAAGTTTCTCGTTCCCAGCCGATTCTTCTCCTCATAGATTTGTAATAGAGACTAATTTATAGAAACAGTTTCCGGGTTCAATAGAACATTTCCCCTTCCGTCCCACGACGGAAGTGAGAGCCACACATAAAAACCGGGGGAGATAATCAGACTTTTAATGCAACTGAGATTGCATGATGGTGTTCCCGCCCCTCCCGAAAAGTACCAACAGAGAAGTTTCCGTTGGATTTTATTTCGTGTGCAAATGTCTTATTTTTTTGGTGGGGGGAGGGAGATAAATGTTTAGATATGCATGAAGGATAATGAAGCAGAAGACTTCTTTGGGCAGTTGGGCACCAGATTTAGATTGAGGGTGTTCGGGGGAGAGAATTTTTTAAAACTCACCTTTGTCGTATATTGTGGCAGCTTTTGGAAAAAGTAAATTCGCTTGGAAAGGAAATCCAAACCATCCCCAGCCCACCCTCTTCTACCCTACGATACTGATGCGGACTGTATTGCAGGGTTGTTCTGCGCTGTTTATCAGCCAGAGCCCACCCTGTTTCCCCGACCTGCAATACAGGGGGATAATGAATGCAAGTTTTACTGCAACTTTTATAGGCAGGGCTATTGTTAAACTATTAAGACACTTGTGCCTCCACAATTATGTTCTTCACATTTAATTGAGTTGGGGGGGGGGAACACCTCTTTTTGCAAAAAGGATAAACAGAGTTTGAAAATCCTGCTCAGCAGCGTACTCCAGTGCAATCCTAAATATCGCAGTTTTCGGAAGAGAATCGGGAGTAGCTTATGGCCCAATTTTGTAACATAGCCTAAATGGTGTAGGCGGGGCTGAAGACAGCTTTAAGATAATTTAGGCGTGAAGTCCAGTATGGTTGTATTTTTAAGATCATCATCTGATACGGAGCAACCTTTCCCAACTTGCTATGCTGGCTGGCTGGGGATAATGGGAGTTGCAGCCCCGCACATATGGAGGGTACTGGGCTGGGGAAAGCTGTAACAGGGCTTGAAAGTGCTGCGATGAAACCGTAGCACGACACCAACTCCAAACTGCCTGCTCCTTTCTGCCGGTGGTTTGGGTTTCCACAAGAAGTCACTCCTGCAAAACACACACCAGGTTATAGGAAAACCAGTTAATTCGCCACCTTTCGAAACTAGAGCAAAACTGATGAGAGCAAAGCAAGGAAAGAACTGAAAAATAATTTTAAAAATTCAAGAAACGAATAAAAATGCCTTCAACTTGCGGACTTTTAAAAACATTTTAAATTAGCTATTGTGCTACGTGCACTGAGAACGCTATTCGAGTCAGGAAGGCATATGTGACTCTACCCTTTCTGAATCTATGGGCACGCGGCCCCGCGCTGCCCTTGTGCGGTGCGGAAGTGACAGGAGGGAGGAGACGTGTGCGGAAGGAGGGTGGAGGAGGGGGTGATGGTGTGGGTAGTCCCGACCGGAGACCGAGGAGGTAGGTGAGTGGAGCCCCGCCCCCAGGCCGAGGATAAGCCCCGCCCATTCCGTGCTTGTCACACCCCATTCGCCCGTGTCTGCCCGGTTCCCAGGTAGAGGGGTGCATCAAAACCAGCTCGGACTCCTGGGTTCTTTTTGAATAGGTGGGACTGGGCTGAGTTGAAGCGATCTGCGTGCCTGCAGCTGGAGTTCTGGGGTGGAGCAAAGGCGAGACTCCTTCCTAATACATCCGCAGTAAGGAGGAGGAGAGTATTCCTGAGCATGTGCAGAATGCATTTGCCTGCTAAGTAGCCCTTCTTGTCCCTTTCCTGTATGTATCTGAAGCCAGAGCTTCTTGATTTGAATATGTGGCTTCTAATCCATCTCACCAGCTCCATTTTCATTTTTAAAGAAGTTTTTAATTCTTAGAAATGACTGATGTTGGAGTTGTGTATCAGCACTGCAGGGTCCAGTGCTCTTATTGGAGTCAGAAGAGATTCCTGGCAAAATAGGATGGTAGGACCCAGCTGTATCAGTGAAAGATAAGAACCATCTGTTAAGAATGGGCTGCAATTCCCTGAGTTCATTCCTCAACCTCCTCTCTCTCATTGCTGCCCTTTCACATGATGGAATGCACAATACTGAATTGGCTGTTGTCTTTCTATGGTGAGGTCATGTGGTATATCTCCATGTTTTGAAAAGAGAAAATATGATGAGCTTCCTTCTTTACCTGATGTGTGCTGGAACTGGAACTCCTTGTGCATGTGTGCACACATACTCTCGCACGCGTACACCCTGCTAGCCATACTGGCTGGAAGAGGCTGGGAGCTCTGACAGGCACCAAGCTGGGGAAGGCTGATACAGGGATACAATTAGTTGCTTTTGTTGTGACTTCTGAAAATAATATATTTCTCCATGCATTTTCCGGCATTTGAGATATTTGGAGTGTGGTTAAGCTTATTCCTGTGTAATGTGTCAGCTGTACCTCACAGCATCCCCTTTCAGTTTATACTCAATGTTTGTACCTTTTGGTGAGGCTCTTGCTTACCCAGGCACATTGCATAGTCTTGTTCCTGCTTTTTTAAAAGCAACAATCAGTGCTTGGAATATTATCACTTGATCAGGGTGCATAATTATATGTTGTATTTGACAGTTTCCCTACTTGAGCCCCTGTTGCATCAGTGTTATTACATTAATGCTGACTTCTTTTAGTTTTTTGTTAAGATTGTATGGTATTATTGTTGGAGGCGCATTCATTGTAGAATGCTACACCCTCCCCTAACCTAGTATGGGCTAGCTGTGGGCTTCAGCTTACACATCCACAGTCACCAATGGCCAGGAATGCTTGGAATTGTAGTCCAGAACATCTGGCAAGCACCAAGTTGAGAAAGCTGATTTAACAGGTCACCCCTGAAATTATTTATTTATTTATTTATTTAAAACATTTCTATGCCGCCCCATCGCAATAAAGCCTCGGGGCGGCTCACAACATCAATAAATAAACCATACAATAAAACCCCAGTGCCATAAAACCTCAGTGCATTCTCAGCTAAAAATTTTAAAAATACAAAACCTAGTTAAATAAATAAATTAACAATTAAAATAAGTTTTAAATAAAAAGGTCTTAGCCTGGTGCCGAAAAACAAATAACGACGGCGCCAGGCGGACCTCTCTGGGGAGCGCATTCCATAAATGGAAATACAAAGAAAACATTCCTAAATAGGGGTACATATGCCTGAACCCTGTAATAGAGCATCCGTCCTTGTCAAGCAGAGCCCCGTTGGCTCAGGTGTGTACGCTGCTTGCAGGTACTGATATATTCATTACTAGTCAAGTAGCAAAATTCAGCTTGGCAGCAAAGAAAATATCAACAGACAGAGGGAAGGAAGCTCAGGCATCTCGGGACTACATCATGAACATGCATGCATTTACCTATGCATTCATAATATGCTCAATTGTTTTAAAATTGCATGTATACTTATTTATTTATTAAAACATTTTTATGCCTCCCCATTCGCCGAAGCCTCGGGGCGGCTTACAACAATAAATTAAAATAATTATAATCATAAATTAAAAATACTTGTGGCAGGTCGTGGTATACATGAATAGGTTTCTGTTGTTTTATTGTTATTCATACATTGTGATAGCCTTAGCCATTTTAAGCAGTAAACTGTTCTGTACATTCATACAGTTTTCATTCTCTAAGCCGGTGCTGTGCAGAAGGTAGAACTCCAGATGTTTGAGCCTTCTTCCCCTAGGAGCTCATGCCAGCATCATCAATAGTCAGGACTGCTGAAAGTTGAAAGTCCAAAACATCTGGAGATACACTTTCTGACCACCCATGCAACTAAGCAGCATGTTTGAAAAGAAGGTTAAGGTTTCAAAATGGCATGGTATGGCCTGTTGCTTTTCTCTGTCTATTTTCAAACAGATGGGTGGGAGTTCTTCCAGTGAAAACTAGCCGAGGAATATAGGAAGTTGCATTGTATCAGGTCAGACTTATTTATCCATGTAGCCCAGTAGTCTCTGCCTGGCAGCCGCTCTCCAAAATTCCAAGCAGAAGTCCTGGCCGTCATCTGATCTGTTTAACCGGAGATGCTAAGAACTGAGCCAGGGGCCTGCTGTGCCTGAAGCATGTGCCCTACACCTGAGCTGCAGCCCCCAGTTAAGGGGAAAATAGTGCTAGTGCAATTGCTCCTTCAGTACAGCGAGAAGTGGGTGGCAGTGTGAGGGACACCAACCCATTCACAGTGCTAACTCTGCCCATTGTTGGTAGCAAGCTGCATCCGGTGTCTTATGCCTCTAGTTGTACCACAAAGTGTTGAAGCAGTGAAATAATTGACTTGAAAAAAGTGTGCAAAATCTAAACCCATACTAATGCAGGAATCACCAATGTAAAACCTGTGGTGACAGCCACTTCTTTTGGTGCCCAGCAGGATCCCTGCCTCTCCTGATTTTTTATTGTAGTTTCTCTTTTTCTTTTCTGCGCTGCAAAGTGAAGCGGTGCTCTCCAGTGTCATCTTTCTTTGGATTCCAAAGAAAGGCCCCACCTCTGTCTTGTGTGAGGTCCTTGGGCAAATTATCTTTCAGTGTCTCGCCTTGACCTCCTGGCAAATGAGGGGGTTGTCCCCAGGTGTGCCCACCATGGTAGCATGAATGGGCAAGCTCCACCCTTATGAGCCATCTTGAGATACACTCAACATTGCCAGTGTGCCCACGGATCCAAGAAGGTTGGGAACCACAGCTCTAATGCGGCAGATTAACATGGGGTACCCTGTCTGGTCGTTCTGCTCACTTTCCCCCCTCGTGTTGTGTTTCAGGACTTGTGAGCCAGAGAGCCTCCACCTGACATCTGCACCTGCAGTACCTGCTCTCCTTTCAAAGGTCTCTGAAAGGCCCAGTGTGGCACAGAAGGCGCCATGGCTGAAGCTGTCCACTACATCCACCTCCAGAACTTTAGCAAGTCTCTCCTGGAGACGCTGAATGGGCAGCGCCTGGGTGGACATTTCTGCGATGTGACGGTGCACATCCAGGAGGCCACGCTACGCGCCCACCGCTGTGTACTGGCTGCTGGCAGCCCCTTCTTCCATGACAAGCTCCTGCTGGGCTACTCGGAAATTGAGGTGCCCCCGGTGGTACCTAGCCAGGTGGTGCGGCAACTCGTGGAATTCATGTACAGCGGCTCTTTGGTGGTTGCCCAGTCTGAAGCTCTGCAGATCCTCACAGCTGCCTCCATCCTGCAAATCAAGACCGTCATTGATGAGTGCACCCAGATTATTTCCCAGAGTCGCAGCCCAAAGCCTCCCACTGCTCCCCCACCAGTGCCCCTCTCCGTCCCTAGGGTTCTGCCCTCCAAGCCCCAAGAGCAGCCACCCAAAGAGGTCATGGGGGGCGTAGCACGGCCTGGGGACCTTGAGGCTGCCCACCTTGAACCACCCAAGCTGCTCTGCGCCTCGGAGGTGCGCTACAAGCTGCGTGACCTGCTCTCCTCCCAGCACAGAGAGCCCAGGGTGGCCCCCTGTGATGGGGGCATCAGTGATGGGGAGGCAGGAAGCTCTTACCTGCACCCTGCTGAGGCAGCACCCAGCTGCCACAGCCGCAAGCAGCGCCAGCCAGTCAGGCTGCAGCTGTCCGAGACAATGCCCGTCATCATCAAGGACGAGGAGGAGGCGGGTGGTGCAGAAAGCAGGGAAGGGGTGGTGACAGACCGGGAGGCCAAACTGAGCTGTTTTGCAGAGTGTAGCGGAAATGGGAACTTCCCCGCCAGTTTCGGTGATGAGGCAGAGGCAAAGGATTCTGAGAATGCTGGTGGGTCCAGTAGGAAAGAGAACATCCACCTGGATTATGCCACATCTGAGGGCCAGGATTTCTTTGGGAACCAGGATGTTTTTTCGGAGTCCTTCATTCCATCCTGGCAGGGGGAGGAAAGTGGCGAAGAGGCGGCGGCTGCACAAGAGAGGGAGAAGTTCCACTCAGACTGCAGTTTGGAGGCTTCCAACCTGAGGAGCTTGACTGGAGAATTCAAGCCGGATTTGGGCAGCCCCTCCACAGCATTTCCGCAGCGCAGCACTAGCGGCAGTGGGGGGCTGACGTTTGTCTCCTCACTGGGCATCCAACGGGAACTCAAGGCTGAGGTCAGTGGTGCCAACACAGCCACCAGCACCACAAGCATCTTCCAGTTCCACTTGCCCCAGCCTGGTGGGGTGGCCCAGAGTTTCTACAGTATCCAGCAGCAGCAGCAGCAGCAGCAGCAACCGCAGCAGGAGGCCGGTGCCAGCAACATGGTGCAGCTGAGCCCCAGCGCCATGGTCACGGGAACCCTGCACGGAGGGGAGCAGCCGAGTCAACAGCCCGGTCCCTCACGCTGTGCCGAGCCTTCCTACCAGTGTAGCCACTGCCAGAAAACCTTCAGCTCCCGCAAAAACTACACCAAGCATATGTTCATCCATTCCGGTAATGGATACTCTGAGGTTGACATTAACCGGGGAGGGAGATTGTTGGGTGCGAGGGAGGTGAAGCGAAGCACTTGGCGGGAACAGCCATGGCAAGCCCTTGAAAAATGCCTCCTGCAGACCAGTCACAAAGTTATTCTGAGTAAATACTGCAGAACACTGTAAGAGATGGATAAATGCTGGTAGGGTGCAAGAGAGGAAGAGCTGCAGCATAGTTTAAAAGTAAGGGCATTCTATGAAGTCAGGATACTTGTCATCTGGACCAATTCTGGCTATTGTTCTTGACCACTGTTTTCCAGGGTCTCAGGTGGAGGTCTTTCCTGTTGCCTCCACCTAATCTATTTAACCAGAGATACTGGGATCGAGCAGTGGCCATTTTTCATATGTTTCAGATTCACTGGCTTCTGGAGAAGGGTAGGTGCTCTCTCCATCTAGGGCAGCCTTCTCCAATCTGGCCTTCTCCAGGTGGGGTGGACAACAACTGCTGTCTTTCCTAACCAATGGCCATGTTGGCTGGGTTTAAATGGAGAAGGTAGTAGGTGGGAGAAGGTTGCTCTAGGCATCCTTCACGTTGAATGATTCAGCATCAGGGTTCTTTTATTACATGATAGACAGAGCAAGACTTCAAATGGTGCAGCCAGAGACTGGTTAATTTATTTGGAGTTCTTAATTTTGGACTTGTAAGCCAAAAATCAGCCATGTCCCATAATATCCCCAAATCACACAAGCTTATACATACATAATCACCAAGGTTGTATATTAAAATGCCATATTAAAAGGCCCTTGCCGGAGAATGGTTATACAATTTTGCATAGTGTGTGCTTTGTCACTGCTGTTGCTTAAAGATGACATAACCTTCGGCGAATGGGGTGGCTTATAAATGTCTAAATAAATAAATAAATAACCTTTAGCCAATTGCCCCAACCTGGTGCCCTTATTCCTAGCCAGCATGGCCATTGGCTCTATAGTTATGAAAATTTGTGCCATTTCCTTCCTCCAGCAGAGATGCCCAAAATACCTAGCAAACACCCAATAGCAATTATCCACATTAGTTAAAATAACAAATCAACAGCATAGCATCAGACTGAAAACAGAAAAAATAATAGAACCAAGGAAGCTAGAGTCACGGACAATCACGTAAAGAGCAACAGAGACAATGGCTAGCTGAAAACAAAAGTTATCAAACACCAACAGAATACAAGGAGGAAGATAATCCAACTGGTCCTTTCCTATTCCTAAATCCTGTTTTGGATTACAATTCCCAGGATCCCTGTACATTCATCATGTTGGCTGGAGCTGCTGGGCACTGATGTCCAAAACTCTAGAGGATGCTAAGGGAGAAGGCACAAGGAAGGTGGCATGCAGCACTGGGGTGTTGAACCAAATCTGGCCAGCCTTGGATGCCATCTAGTCCTCTGAGGTTCTGCAAATGGTCATTCTCCCTTCCCCCCCTCCCCAGTGTACACCTTTCCCCTGACCATTGCTCCTCTGATGGTTTCAAGGCTTTCTTGAAAGCCTTTCTGAAAGGTTGACACACCTCTCCTCAGGGAGCAATCTTATGCATCTTTAGACAGAAAAAGCTGGCAGGGGAAGGATTCTTTTCTATCTAAGCATGCCCAGGATTGCACCATTAGTTCAAATTATACAGGTATATCTGTCCTCTCCCCTTTTGCCTTTGAGCCCTGCCTACCTCCCCAAGAGGTTCTCTAAACTTCAATTCGGTCCCTAAGCTGAAGCTTGCTGCCACAGAGAAGGACCTATGCAGGCTGCCATCCCCCCACAATTGGGGGATTACACAATCCCCCAATTGTGTAATATATTTGCTAGTTTCCTTTTTTATAGATCTCTGATTTTATCTATACATCACTGTTTTGAGTGCCTACCTATATCATTCTCAAGAAACATCCCTTTAAATCCTGGGATGGGGAACCTTAAGCCTAGAGGCCCAATCCTGCTCACTTGTATTTCCAGTCCTACTCCCCAGAGATTTCTCAAGGGGCCTCTTTCCCCAGACCACCAAACATTTGCTGAGTTTCTGGGTTTTGTAGAATTTTCCCTATACTGAAACACTGAAAAGCCTCTCCTAAAGCTGAATTATCAGCAGCAAATATAAAATTTTAAACCTGCTGGCCCCTTTTGCCTTTGGACCCACCCACTGCAAGAACACAACCTAGGAGAACTTCTCTGGAGTTGAATGCAGTGCTTGGGCAGGAGGGGCTCCCCACCGCTGCTTTCACCCAGAGCTGTGGATCACCTCCTCCCGCTGCCGCCTGAGCCTAGAGTTCCATATTCTCCACTAACTCACAGTGTCTTGACAGGTGAAAAGCCCCACCAGTGCAGCATCTGCTGGCGCTCCTTCTCCTTGCGGGACTACCTGCTCAAGCACATGGTGACTCACACGGGAGTGCGAGCCTTCCAGTGCTCCATCTGCTGCAAGCGCTTCACCCAGAAGAGCTCCCTCAACGTCCACATGCGCACCCACCGCCCGGAACGCTTCCAGTGCTGCATCTGCAACAAGTACTTCTCCCACCGCACCTTGCTGGAGCGCCACATGACCACCCACACTGCTTGGAAAGGTGGGCAGCCTGACATTCCAGGGCCCTTGGCTGTCACGGCTGCCTCTGCTGCTGACTGGAAGGAGAAGCCAAGCATTGCTGCTGCCACCGCTTCTGCTGCTGAGGGAAGCATTGCCGCCACTAGTGGCGCCTCATGGAAAACAGCGGACTCATCTGCCGAGAGCACCATTGCCACTTGGAAAGCAGGAGATCCAGCCCCTGGAGAAGCCAGTCTGGTCACCTGGAAGGGGGAGGCAACAGGGGAAGGGCCAGTTGCAGGCTGGAAGGGGGACCCGACTTCCGAGGCATCCATGCAGCCTCATTCAGCCTAGGGCATTTCCTGATTTGCCCGCTGACGAGTTCACCTTGTCCAACACTCACAGCTCATAGAAGGAATAGGGCGCCAGGCCTTGCCTTGAGTCCTCCAGTGTCTGGAAAGGTGTATGGTGTCCAGCAAATGGAATGCTCTCCACTTGGGACCTCGATTTCTTCCATTGCAAGGCAGTCCTCAGGGGCCAACATGCCGATGAGAGGCAAGTGGTAGATTCTAAAGTGGAGGCTGGAGGTGCTGTTGTGTCCCCAGGTCATGACTTCACTGGTGGAGGACATGGCTGCGAAAGGGTAAGACTGTAGCTGCATTCACAAGACTTTGCCAGTGCTGTTCCTAGCCTGCCTGTAGCTCCGTGACTATGTTTTGCATGCAAAAGATATAGATCCTATCTCCCATGAAAGGATCTCAGGTGACAGGTCTGAATGGCCCACATCTGAAATCGAGCTTTTGACACTCGGAATAGACAGCACCGAACTAGATGGACCAATAGTCTGCCTTGTCTACTTAATGGTTCCATATTGAGCTACAGTGACTTGATGTCCATCATGACAGGCAGTCTGCCACCGAGTGCCAGGGGCTCGGGGCATGTGGACTTGCCAGTGGCACCTTACTTATGACTGTGGGAAGATAGATAATGGGGTACCTTCCTATCTTCCCCGATGAACTATTGATGTGATTCACAGGAGCTGCTTTTTTGTTCATTGCAACACTCCTCTAAAATGGGAAAACTCTAAGTTCTGTACCATTTTGTTGTGGTGGTGGTTTCGTTTTTTTAAGTGGGCAGGCTTGAGGATGTCATGTTTATAGCTCGCAGCTATTTTCCTCAACCTGGCACCCCCCCAGATGTGTTGAACCCCATCATCCCCTACTAACATGGACATTAACAAGTAGACACTAAACAATGTCATTTTTTCCTTGCTACCAGAAAAGAAACTTAAAGTATAATTAGGGACTGGTTTTATTCCACTATCTTATCTCAGATACAAGTAGGAGAAGAATAGCACAGCATAATCAAGTGACAAAGTTTTTTACACGTCTTTTTGTATTTTCAACATGATTCTCTCCTTAAGAGGGGCTGAACCTTAGTACTCGAGTTCCTGCTGTGCATGTGGAAGGCTCAGGTTCAAACCTCAACAACTCCAGGTAGGGGTAGGTGATAATCCTGAAGAGCTGCTATTAGTCAGTGTTGACACTATTTAGCTAAGCGAACCAAAGGTTTGACTCGGTACAAGACGGCTTCCCATGTTCCTTTGGAAGACTGTCATCCAGCACTTCTAGGAACATCAGCTTGGAGAAGGGTGGCTTAGGATGTTCTGGCTTGCATTTCCAACATAGATGGATTGCTGGGATTTTCCTTCTTTTATAAAGCAACTTCATCTGTTCCCAAGTCCATAGAATCAAAGCTTGATTCAATAACCAAAGTATCTGTGTAGCTTCCTACCAAATTACCAGTCCTGTGGTATGGCTGGAAAAAAATGTGCATTCCATTTCCTGTATTACCAGAAGTGAGCAGTAGGGTCAGTTCTGTCCATTGTACTGCCACCTGGGTGGGAGAACACAAGCAGATTACAATATCTGGATTTCCCATATACAGTATATCACAGAAGTGAGTACACCCCTCACATTTTGTAAATATTTTATTATATCTTTTCATGTGACAACCCTGAAGAAATGACACTTTGCTACAATTTAAAGTAGTGAGTATACAGCTTGTATAACAGTGTAAATTTGCTGTCCCCTCAAAATAACTGAACACATAGCCATCAATGTCTAAACTGCTGGCAACAAAAGTGAGTACACCCCTAAGTGAAACTGTCCAAATTGGGCATTATTAGACATTTTCCCTCCTTGGTGTCATGTGACTCGTTAGTGTTACAAGGTCTCAGGTGTGAATGGGGAGCAGGTGTGTTAAATTTGGTGTTATTGCTCTCACTCTCATACTGGTCGCTGGAAGTTCAACATGGCACCTCATGGCAAAGAACTCTCTGAGGATCTGAAAAAAAGAATTGTTGCTCTACATAAAGATGGCCTAGGCTATAAGAAGATTGCCAAGACCCTGACACTGAGCTGCAGCATGGTGGCCAAGACCATACAGCGGTTTAACAGGACAGGTTCCACTCAGAACAGGCCTCACCATGGTCGACCAAAGAAGTTGAGTGCACGTGCTTGGCGTCATATCCAGAGGTTGGCTTTGGGAAATAGACGTATGAGTGCTGCCAGCATTGCTGCAGAGGTTGAAGGGGTGGTGGGTCAGCTTGTCAGTGCTCAGACCATACGCCGCACACTGCATCAAATTGGTCTGCAGGGCTGTCATCCCAAAAGGAAGCATCTTCTAAAGATGATGCACAAGAAAGCCCACAAACAGTTTGCTGAAGACAAGCAGACTAAGGACATGGATTAGTGGAACCATGTCCTGTGGTCTGATGAGACTAAGATAAACTTATTTGGTTCAGATGGTGTCAAGCGTGTGTGGCGACAACCAGGTGAGAAGTACAAAGACAAGTGTGTCTTGTCTACAATCAAGCATGGTGGTGGGAGTGTCATGGTCTGGGGCTGCATGAGTGCTGCCAGCACTGGGGTGCTACAGTTCATTGAGGAAACCATGAATGCCAACATGTACTGTGACATACTGAAGCACAGCATGATCCCCTCCCTTCAGAGATTGGGCCACAGGGCAGTATTCCAACATGATAACGACCCCAAACACACCTCCAAGACTACCTCTGCCTTGCTAAAGAAACTGACCATCTGAAGGTGATGGACTGGCCAAGCATGTCTCCTATCGAGCATCTGTGGGACATCCTGAAATGGAAGGTGGAGGAGCGCAAGGTCTCTAACATCCACCAGTTCTGTGATGTCATCATGGGGGAGTGGAAGAGGACTCCAGTGGCAACCTGTGAAGCTCTGGTGAACTCCATGCCCAAGAGGGTTAAGGAAGTGCTGGGAAATAATAGTGGCCACACAAAATATTGACACTTTGGGCCCAATTTGGACAGTTTCACTTAGGGGTGTACTCACTTTTGTTGCCAGTGGTTTAGACATTAATGGCTGTGTGTTGAGTTATTTTGAGGGGACAGCAAATTTACATTGTTATACAAGCTGTATACTCACTACTTTACATTGTAGCAAAGTGTCATTTCTTCAGGGTTGTCACATGAAAAGATAAAATATTTACAAAATGTGAGGGGTGTACTCACTTCTGTGATATACTGTAATTCTGTGAATAAGGCAAGGCAATGTCACTACAAAACATATCTCTCTTTCTTCGCTACCCACAAGTGAATAAAGTTACAGTTGGCATTCCTGTACCTTCACTAATGGTGCAGTAGAAGGAATTCTGGAACATTCAGCTTTTCTTACTCTACTCCATGTTAAGCGACATCTGTAGAAATTCCTTCTGGTTTACTGCCATTGAAAGTATAAGAGCTCTTTGATTACCTGTGCTGAATGCTGGTGGTTTCTTCACTGCCTGTCTCCTAGCACTGCTCCTCCCCTCAAATCTGATGTTCACATGCAAAAACTTGGTACAGCGGGACCTTTGGGGTACAATCCTAAGCACCTTTAGGCAGAAAAATATCCTGCAGTTTGCTGGCTGTGGAATGCTGTCTGAAGATGCATAGGAGTACACCCTTGGCTACAATTCCTTTTGTATTTGCATAACATTCCTGTGGGGCCAACTGCAAGTTGCATTAAAATGCACATAAAGAAGCCCTACCCTTTTCTTTCTTTTTTTAAATAAATAGTGGATTTTGGAAGCTTCAAATTGTGAATCCGTGGTGAATGTGAAAATTTATTGTCTGCTCCGTAATTATTGCAAAGCCGTATCTAAAAACTGGCACATTTCTGGTCGAAATGCCTTTTCCCCCTTCCTTCTATACCTTTCAAGAAAAAAGGTTTGAAGGGGAATTGACTACCACTGAACGTATTTCATACATCTAACTTAAAACCTAGTGGTTTTTTGGAAGTTTGTGATGCATGGGGATAAGTAATTAAAAGGGAATTTGATTCGGAGCAGGATCTGCATGGAAACTTAATTCAGGGTAAATGAACTGAAGACAGGTTGCTGCTTTGGCATGTTCAGGGAAGTTTAACTTAATTGAACAATTTGGGGTGATTTAGATGGGAAATAATCGGCTTGGCTTCTGTGAAAATTAAATTCTTGTAATTATTTGTGACTTTGCATTTGTACAGTTATATTAGCATATGATCCTTTTTTACCCTTGAGCCCTTCTGCCAAACGTTTGACTAATTATTTTTGGGGCCATAAGATGGAATGGTGCCCCATATCTTTTATATACATAGTAATGGCCATGTCCCTCATTTACTGTGGGAACAGTACATTTCCAGGGGACAGACTGATGCTCTTTTGGCAGATCCTGTCATCCAGTGAACCTCTAGCTCAGCAAGTAGATGCACCATTCTTTTTTCTTTTCAGTAATTTACCAGCAAATATAATAAAGTGATAAACATACTTAATTGCTTTATTACCCAGGAGATGTTTGCCTACCAGGTGTCTGGCTTGCAGAAAATGTGAAGATGAAGTTAAGGAGAATTGCACAGCTGACCCTCATGTGCAAGGCAGGACTAGTCCCCTAGCAAGAGCAGTGACAGTTAACATGGTAATGTGACCAATAATCCCTCACTGGCATTAAAACAGCAGTGTTGAATTTCAGCCAAACAGTGGAGTGGGCTTCCAATGGAGGAGCCCCAGAAGGGCAACTGGATTGGCCTAAAGTTTGTACCCCTGCTTTGAAAGGTAAATGAACAGTTTCATGGAAGATCTGCCATGAGTGATACATGGAACCATCAACCACAAGTAACTTGTGTAACTTTTGTGTTTCAGGGGACAGACATCACCTTAATGCTTTGTTCGTCCCTGAAAAGTCATGTAGCTTCTGTTGGAAACAGACTGCTGAACTAGGACCTTGCCAAACCTTTAGTCCAGAAAAGCAGTTCTTAACAATTGCAAATCTGACCGTAATGTACCTTTCTAAACACACACGTGCACACACTCCATAGATGTATTTACAATTAATAGATTGCATTTACTACCCTGCATTCCTACTAGGGTGGCCATGTGTTCTACCTTACAGAAAACAGTCCTCTGTTCTTTATTTGGAGTGCTATCCAGTCTAAGACCAGTTCAAAATCAAGAGTCATAAGAAGGGAGTGCAGCCATAGTCTTTGAAGGAGTCTATTAAGTAACGAAATCCTGAATAACAGACTTAAGAAGCACCCTGCACAGATCACCTTCTCACAGTCTTCTCTGCTATACACTGTATTTCATTTATAACCAATTTAAACATGTGTAGCCATACATACATAATTCTAGATGTACACATCTGTTTTTGTTTGGTGATAGATGTCCTCTTTAGCAATGCAGAAATGGCTGCCCTAATTCCCATGCTGACCATGGGAGGGCTCTTTTTGTAGCTAGCATACTGGGGGCAAAGCAATATTTTTTTTTCTCCCAACCTTGCTTGTTCACTTGAATGGATGTTTATTATTTCCAGGTGAGCTTTTAAATGCAACAATTCCACAATAATTTAAAAGGGGGAGGTGCATGCCAGGGGTCTTCCTTCAGCCTGAAGCTGAAGTTCCATTTCAAGGGAGATCTTGGGGGAGAGAACAATCCAGTGGAGAGCAGGGCCAACATTCCAAAAATAGAAATGCATATTTAGCTGATACCTCTTACTGTTGTAAATGAAGGCTTGGAGGAATGGGATGGGGTGGCTGCACAAAAGCCTGGAATATAGTTTGAGAAGGGGGTTCGGTTATGTGGGGACTCCAGAGGGTCACGTTGCTGCCCCAAGCTTGAGGGCCCTCTGCCTTGACTTTGAAGGTGGGCAAGATCTTCAATAACTTGGGGAAGGGGCAGTCTCCATATTGTGCTATCATGCATATGGATGACTAGCTTCAGTTTAAATGGTATACGTGCAAGGCTGGTGACGAGGGTAGGCCTGACTGGGCGCCTGCTAAAGTCCCATATCCCAGTAGGGACCCACTAGCAAGAGTCCCCAGGAGTTGCTCCTGCTCGTCACCATTGCAAGTCCTTGTTCCCTGCCTCCTCCTATGGCCCAGAAAATGGTAGTGGTGAAAAAGAAGAGTGATAAACACTTTTCTGCTTGCTCAATGGCTCTCTGCCTGATGAGCAATCGAATGGTAGCTGAGAAAGAGGAGAGCAATACCAGCGGATGACAATGGTAGGGAGAAGACAGACTTGATGAGGGAGAAAGTAGATTGAAGGTATCCTGCTGACAGGCCTTCGGGAACCTGGACCCGGCACTGTGTACATAGCTGGCAATTATCATTAGTCATGCTTAGTCTATCTTTACTGCAAGTTTGTCTGCCTAGAAGCAATGGCTGCAACATCATTGCCTTGTGGTACTTAATTCTTACATACCCCATAATTTGAAATTCCCCTTGGAAAAGAAAATACTACCTGTATATATGATGCCTGCAGTAATTGCTTGCAAGTTGTATGCCTCAAGGGCACTGAGTAGCCACTTGCTCTGTTTGAAGTTCACTGTTTCTAATGTCCATTTCTTGTATTGAGGAAGTTGATCACACAAGCCCTGCCTCCACTGGGAGCTCCCCACCCGGTTGTGCCATCTC